TTTTTAACTTTTGCTAAAGCTTTACTTTGCTTTGGCGTGGATACTTTATTGTTTTATCTGTTAGATTCAAGTTTCGAAAAGTCGAAACATTGATAAGTTAAACTACGTGCAAAAAATCAATATGTAACATGTCACAACTAAAACTATATTACCTCATACTCAACCATTTTTTTGATAACTTTTTTAAGGACTTTTTTTTAATGGACATTAACGTGGTATCAAAGTTTAAAATGAAACTGTTGAATGAAAAAGAAACATTTGGTGAATTGAAATGATAGAATCAAGGACATTTTAAAAAAATTTTAATTAACATAAGAGAAAGATGAGATACTAAAATAAACTGGACAGTATTCTCAGGCAATTTCATTTGATACGACGCTGATAAACGATAGTGAAAAAAATAATACCATATCATCACAAGCCTGTTGTTACTTTTATCTAACGAAATGTCTCAGGATGTAAAGTCCATAAAAAATAGTCTAGATCACTGATGCAAAAATGAAGTTTGGGAAAAATTTTATCATTCTTGGCTGTAATATTATTAAATAAAAGAACTCAACGAGTTTCGTTAATATTCTTTACAAGTTAAATGGTCCACAAAATTACTTATATCTATGCTACTTGGGTATATTTTAAGGATACAAGTTTTTAAATTTAAAACGCTTTCTTCATAAAAAGTATCTATGGAAGTTTTTTGAGCAAAATTCAAAAAAGATCCAATTCACTCAACTACTTTCAATCATATTTTATCTTGCATCATGAAATGTTTTGATGGATCCATTAAGATTTATTTTTTCTTATCCAGTAGAAATATACTTAATGTTTCTACTAGTTTGGGAAATATTAACTTCAATAGACCCATCAGAATCTTAAGAAATTTGTCTGAATGCAATTCAAGGTACTCAAGCTGTCTACATTCCATTTAACAAATTACGATATTAAATGTACAGTTTTGACAACGATGCTTTTTTTTATTGAAATAACTTATTTTAAATTGATTATTGTAATTTTTAACTTTAAGTTATAAATATTATGATAATAATTTTTACATTGTATGTAATAAATCACGCTTCAATTCATCATAGAATGTTTTTTTTTCAAATAAATTTTTCATTTATTGACTCTGTCACAGTTGAATGTTATTTAAATCAAAAATTTCCTGTCGGAATTTTTTGAACTTCAATTTTTCCAAAAAATTCGAGCTTTATAGTAAACTTCATCGCACTAACGGAATCGTAATTTGGAATTCTGCCTGTATACCACTGGGGAAATTTTTTTTCGCACGAATAAATAAATATTTAATTAAACAAAAACACAACTAGTCTCAATAAATATCAGTCACAAATTGATATAAACAAATATGTCAGGTATTGTTATAATCAAGATATCACTAGTTAACCATAAATTCATAGATATTTTATACTATTATAAAAATATTAAGTTGTATGAGAAGAAATCTCAACAATTAAATTAATAATTAAACTAATTTTCTTCTTTTAATTCGTGGATTTCAGATGAACTTAGCGCCATAAATATTTAAATAATTTCAAGTACAAATGATTGTTGAATAGGAAATTACGTAGAATAACAAATGTGTATAAACAGCATTTCTGTAAATTATTAATGCCTCATAAAATCAAGTAAACCATGTGTCTAACAACTAGACTTGATTTTAGTCCGAATGAATCATGAAAGATTAAGTATGAATAGTTTTCAGTTAAAGAGGGCGATTAAGAGTATAAGCATGATTAATCACCCTGGTAAAATTTTTAATCTACCCCGTCAGCATACGTTGCCAAATCCCTATTTCTGGTAGTGCATTATTTCACTGCACATTGGTTTCTCGAGGTAGTGCGTACTAAACATCGAGGATTCGTATTTTATCCATTATTTGACTATAACAACGATTTTAGCTTCTGAAAGACAATGATAATTAATTATTTGATATTTATTACAGTGGAAAATCGAACAATGTTTGTAAAACTTTTCAAGAGGAACAGAAAGTTAAATTGTATCTATCCGGTTCAGAAACTCCAACGTCAACTACAGTGTAAAAAGTGAGAAAATACTTGTTATTCCGAGTTGACTGTAGACAAGTCCCTAGCGTCACCTTTTGAATTTCAAGAAGCTCTATCTAACATTAATTATCGTGACACAATCTTGAAAACTACGAGAAAATCCGTTTTTCAACAAACTCGTAACCACGTTCACTACATTTCATTCTATAGTCAACTTTTTAAATCAATGAATCATTCTTAAATGTGTGCTAATTTTTCTTTTGTTTATATTTACTGAAGAGAATAAAGCGGTTGAGAAGATTAATTAATTACAAGTTTAAACAACGGGAAAAAAACTTTTCTATGAAAAAAAAACCCCCGAAAAAAATTAAAACCTGATTAAACATTTACTTATCGATTTGTTTCTCCCACATGAATTTGTAATCAGTATTTTTCTACCGGATCAGCATTTAAATATGTCCAATAGTTTTATAGTCTTTTACATAAAGAGTTTTTTTTTAAATAATACATTCATTTGTTTTTATTTTTTATATAAAAAAAAAAATAAACAACAGTCTTTCAAATTTGTAGAAAGCTTTCAGAAGTGCTAATTTCTGTATCGCACTTTAAAAATTTTTTCACTTGCATTTTATAAACGTTTATACTTTTTCTTTAAATTCTTGTAAATTGAAGTGAACGTTACTTAAGGTGCTTGGTTATTTTTATTCACTTCTTTACCAACGGTGTTGCTAACACTTCAATATAAATTTCTCAAGGAAATAAGGAAATCTTTTATACTCATGTTTAATCCCTCAAGATAAAATATAAAAGTTTTTTTTCACCCTTACTCTGGAATGTATTTCATGACAAGTACCAGATATTTTTTTTCCATTACTTTTCCACGAAAATTTTACAATTATTATTAATGTTTTTCCGTAATCATGCAAAGATATTTTTGAATTAATATTTATTTTATTTGTTAAGTAAAAATTTAATTAACAAAGTCAAACTATTTGATATTATTTTATATTTTATTTACCAAAGTTTTATTAAAATTGCTATATTACAATTGTAAACATGCTACAAATTTTTTAAGTATAAGTAAAGAATGTCGACGAAATATAATAATGTTATTTCAAAAAGGTACAATAAAATGCGCAAAAAATGTACAAAAATAAAATAAGAAGAATTAGAGTAAACACTTTAGAGTAACTATGCCATAATTTATTTAAAATAAAAATGTACTCAGTACATGAAAATTAAATTGTTATAAACTCATTTATTTTCTCTAAACATTGTTTGTTTATTTATAAAAATATTAATAAAATTCTTCTTCGAATTATTTTCAAATTTCTGTCATGTTAATTCAATAAAAATTTATTTAAATTAAAAAAAATCAGCAACAACGATTATCAAATATAAATATACAAATATTTCCTAATACTAAATATCTCTCAAGTACAAACTGATAAAAAAATCGTTCGATTTTTAATCCTTAATCCTACCTAGGTTTTGTAGAATTTAAAAAATTAAAACAAATGAAACTAAAATAAATTTTAATGTGATTGAAAAAAAAAACGTTGTATCACATTCCTATTATTAGAGTATTAGTTATAAAACTCTGATTGTGTGAGTTTAATTCATTTTTTATTGTTTTACTTTTGAAAATGTAATTCCTAAAATCCAGTATCATCCAAACCATGTTTAATTTTTCAATGTTTACCTATTACTTTTATAATAGAATATAAATTAGTATTAAAAATAAAACCTAAAGATAAATATAAATATTCACTACCGACGAATATAAATGAATTAATTTTCTCTACATGAGTTACAACAAACCGCACTTTTTCTACTAACACGTATAAACCACCTTTTCTGTTTTTGAGTCAGTCGTGTGGTAGAGTGCGAATTACCAGAATTAATTTAACGAACACATACATATGGACGAGTCTTTCAGTATACCAACTGACTGTATGCATCTTAATGAATTTTTTACGTCACGATATAATATAGAGCACATTGTTAACCAAGTGAGCAAAGTTTGATATTCTGACCTGGGTGTGAAATTGCATTCTGAACCGAAGGCGAGGGTGGTAAATACTCAAGTAAGGATATTTCACTTCACTTCCATGACCAACATACTATTTTTTATCATACTATCCTTCAAACTTAAAATTTGTTGTCTGTATTGAGGTTGGAAAGATGACGTTTTCTCTCTCGCAGAGAAAGACAACACTCGTCTTGGCATGTGCACAAACCATTTTTTGTCTTTTTATGCAAGATAGAATACGTCGTTTTGGGACCTAAAAACAGGGAGCAAACTTTAACATTAGGCAGGGATAAGAAAAAAATGATATTTTGTTTTGTAAAAAAATAATTGTTCAGAATTTTGTTTATTTAAGAATAATAAATTCAAGTGATGTAGCACTTCATTGTTCATTTAATAATTTTCCCTGTGGATTTAATGATGAATTTATTAAGAATTGAATAGCAGAAATTCCTTTAAAATATTGACGATTAATTTTTCATCGCTTAGTAAGTGAAGTAAGCAAACTTTACAAAGCACTTTTAGAACAATCGCGTGGTATCGGAGACGTGAATCTAAACTCATCAAGGTTAACACGACCTTGGCTTGCTTTATGATCAAATACAGGTAATTAGTTGATTAATTTTTTGATTTTATATTGCATATTTTTCTCCGTAATTATTCAGTTCTGAAGAGGAAAAGTTCTCTTCAGTAAAATTAGTCGAAAATATTTTACTCATTAAACGGAAAATGAATCTATTAAAAATGTTGTCAAGTGAATGAAATAGAAATTAGAGTAATGAATAGAATTTTTTTCAATTTCATTTCTGTCACAACTATGCACTTTAATTGATTTAAAACAAATGAAATTTGTGAGAATTTTAACAATGGCACTTTCTAGAGATTTTCAAAAGCAAACAGACCAACGTATGACAATGAATTAAGGAAACTCTGTAAATGTAAATTAGACTGACCTTAACATTTCCATATTTCCATGTGAAAAGGATTACGACTGGGAGACATGCTATAACACAACATTCTAGAATTAGTATCGCAGTCCTCATTAGCCAATTCAGATAGACGATACAAGGGGATCCATTTTCACAATATTCACAGCCCTCTGCACAAGGAAGACATTCAAAAACTCCTTCAACTGCATACTGGCTAGTTTCACCCTGTAAATAAAAAAATTACTCTTTATATATGGTTAAACAAATCTTTTTGCTCATCTTGAAACATCAAATGAAATGAATGAATGCAAAAAAAATTTACTTTATTGTTTTCTTTGACATTCAATAGTAATTTTATTTTGATAAAAAACTCTAGTAGATTTGTAAATGACTAGCTTATCATGTGCTAAGTAAGAAAAGTGGAATTTAATTCTCATGAACATAATATTTGATAGAAAATGGTAAAACGGATAATTATTTTTAATCGTAAAGCAATTGTTTAAGATCCATAAATTAAAGAACATTTAACCTCCGCCTTTTTTTCTATTTGATGAAAGAGTCACGAAGGTTCTCTGTATTATTACTCATTTCTGAATATATATATATATATATATATATATATATATATATATATAATAAATTATTTCTTTATTAAAATAACCAGAAACAATATAAACTAATGGGCTTAGAATTAACTAAAGTATCTTCTTATTTGTTAGAAAAAAGTTTCTTTAATCTCTCACAATTTAATTTCTACTGAAACTTTACATAAAATCATGCTAACTAAATTTAAGTCACAGTTAAGCTTATTACCAAAAAAAAAAAAATTGTTTCTTATACTTGGAGACAGAAAGAATGAAGTATCATTTAGCATATTTTTTCATAACTTTCAAGTGTGAAAATAAGATTACAACGTAAAATTAAACTCGGTAGAATTCACAGAAAATTTTTCGCTTTAGCAAAGATTGAAGATGAAATCGAATCATTTATCTGGTAATTCTCGAGAGATTTCGGCCAAGATGGAATTACAAAAGTTTTATTCTTAAGAGATGACGTAAGTTTGCTCGAATAAACGTGAAAAGAAGGAAGAGATTACACTTGATTGTCAAGGGAATTTTATAATTACTGAATAATCATACACTTGTCAGGTAAAGATCAAGGGAATTACTTGAGATCTTCATTTCATCAAGGACTCACTCATGCCATTCAATTGTACCAATTATACAAATCGAAAATGAGTCTGGACTTTGTTTGTATCTTGACGACAAACTTGCCAACTTTCGTTGAAATTCTTAATTTTATTATCTTTTAGTTTTTTATTTATAACAAATTTCTATTATTATAAACAATATACAATAGTTTTATCACGTAAAGTTATTTATAACAACATTTTATAAATATTTATCAAATATAACCATAGTCTAAATAATTCAATACATCAAAACCATTTTTAATTATTTATAACAAGTTGAAATTATTATAAACAATACATAATTGTTTAGAGTCATGTGAAGTTATAAATAACTACATTGTATCGACCTCAGTTGTCAACAATGTTAATTATCTAGCAAGTAGAATCTATTTCAAATGTCTCTTTACTCAATTTATTTTACACTCTTTTTGTTATAAAAAAAAAAATGGTTTGACCGAATTTCTTCAAATCCCTTTCAGATCCTCTTCTTTGTATTATCTTTGAAATGAAATTGGTCTGGAGTCGATATCTTCAGTGGTTCTCCAGATATCGAAAACGAAAAAGAACTTGACATACGCACGTACACATGTACGTACGGACATTCATTTTGATGCCTTCTAATATGCATTTAAATGTCTTAAAACGTAAAGATATGATAAAATTACGAATTTCAAACATCGATCTCATTACAATTCACTTTTTCATGGAAAGTTAATAAAAGTTATGTTTCAATAATATAATAAATTATTTTAATTCCATTTGCCCTTTGTGCGCATGATTTTTGGAGTAAAATTGTGAGGAAGATAACAATTGGATTTCTGAACGGTCAAAATGTTTCGAGTGATATAGCTATTGAATCAATGTCAAAAAAGAATGTGAAGTGTTCAGAGAAATAGTGGCTGTCATATTTAGAGAAGATTTAGTTTTCCAGAGCTTTTGAAATGGACAGAATGACGGGCAACTTGGCAGATTTACATTATATGAGTCAGCAATCTTTCTTGCTAAGAACGAACTTCCTGACAACTGACAGATAGTCATTTAGTTTTATTTTACTAAATTATTCTTTCATTAGTTATTTTATAAAAAGTTCTTTATTTGTATTTAAGGCTGATACTTAGTTCATGTTAATTGCATACTTTGAATAATTTGAAAGTCTATTTGACTACCTTAATTCATCATATTTCTCTCTTTATTCACTTCCTTCATACAGAACATGATCTCTCTGGTATGAATATTGTGTATCTCTAAATTCCGTCTACAATTGTCTATACTTCTCTCTGATGATTTCTAAACAATAATATTCCTCCAGAGTTCTCTCAAATCAACATAACATGAATACCGTTAAGTAGACTCGAGTGTCAATTACGATTTGTTCGATAATACTTCAAATAATTGAGATGAGGATTATACTTATTATCCGGATCAAGTGAAAGCATAAAAATAAAAAAATTTATTTATCGGTTGAGATTATTCACAATGATAGAATTTATCGTAAAATAAACTGGCAATTAAGTAGGATATTCTCGTTTGATGAAAATTAGGATTAGCATGATCGAAAAAAAAACAAGGTCTAGGTCTGGACCAATTTTAGTTATGGGTCTGAAAAAAAATTCCAAAAGAGCTTCAGGAGATTTTTGAAAACTTTAAAATTCTTTTGAAATATTTGTGGAGTTCCTAGAAAATGTTGGAATTTGTTTAGAGTTCTATTTAATGTTGTTACTAAAACTTTCCTAGTACGAATTTATCTACCAAAATTGAACTATCTTTGTGTGGAAAGAAAATTCAATGGATCATAAATGGAACGCTAGTTTCTAGTACAAATTATTTTTCGAAAATTCTCAAAAAATTTACATTGATAATAAAAAATGTTAAAAAAAAAATTCCTATCGAATATAAATTAATAACCTATTGTTTTGAGCAATAAATTCTTTCTGTTCATAATAATAGCAAATATTTAAAAATCGTATTAGTTGTAAATCTTTTGGAAAAAGTTAATTGAAAAAAATGTATTATTTGATATTTACAAAGAATAACAAATTAAATACATTAATTTTTATTGAAATAAATTTTACATCCGAAATATAGAAAGAAAAAGAATTTTATTCTGATTAAAAAATTGAATTTTTTATTATAAAAATAAACATTTATTTATTCAAATATACTTTGAAAAATCATCAATAAATTAATATTTACATAAATCATAAAAAATAATGCTAAGTACTACTTATTCTTTCAAGCTTTTACTTTTACAACAGTCTTTACAAATAAAATGCATGTGTATTTATATTTATTTATTATAATTTATAAGTATTGAAAGTTAAATTATAATATTACAATAATATTTAATCAAACAAATCATGTCAATGTTAAAAATTTGGTTCAACCGAATGAATGGTAACATAAATAGGTGCGTGGGGCATTTCAACACCCTAGGCAGTTTTTTTTAATAATAATATCTTGAACAAAAATGATCGTAAATATATGAAACTGGTTTAGATCTCTTTTTCAAAGGTCAGTTCAAAGGTACTGAAGATAGCAGCAGGTAAAAAAATTTTTTTGCATGTATGATTTCCAAAATAAATTGTTGTCTGGCATGATAAAACATCCTACGTGCCCGTACGAGGTGCTAAGGGTTGAAAAATGCATATTCTTTTATATTTTCATCATGTCAAGAAATTCGAAAAAATAGAAATATTAACTAATAATCTCATACAAAACATAGAAGGATACACGACGCTAATGAAAATGTGACTTTTTATCATGGGAATTAATTACAAAACGACGTCAAAGCATTTTTACTATACAGATTTCAGAAAAATTGAATCGTATTCAGAGGGTTTCTTTTAATCATCTCTAAGCTACTTCAACAGTGTTGATTTGAGATTTCACAATCGATTACTCTTCATAATAATGATGTTTTTTTTAAAGTGACTTCTATGATTATAATATTATTAATAAATTTCAATTTAGTTGGTCCTTTATACGAGAAAGTTCTTCCAAGTATCTTATATTATTCAATAAAATGAACATACCTACAGATCTATTAAGAATTAACAATTAAAATTGAAATGAAAAACTGTGTCAGTCGCAGATGTCAACATTATTCAAGGAATCTTGAATTAAATAAAATAAGTAACAAGGATGAAAAGGTAAAAGCTTTTTGTTTGAAGAAATAAGGAAATTTTTATATAATACAATTCATCTTATTCTTAATTGCTGAAGCAATGAAAGGAATTGATAAGGGTATAATTAAAATCGTGATTAAAGTTTTTCCACAGTAATTTTTTGTTCAATTTTATAATATTTTTATCTTGAATTTTTTATAATGTTTATTCATTTTAAACATTTCGTGAAAAAGTCATATTCTAAATACATAAAAAGATCTCTGAACTTTTGTGATGTTTTTTTTTTTAAAAACCTTGAAACTTACCAGCATAAGCTTTTCAAATTCTTCTTCAACGACGGTTCCATTATAATATCGTTCCGTGGACTTAGTGTCTGGATAATAAAAACCCCGTTTACAAACGCATCGATAGCTACCACGTCGAAATCCAAGGCCAGGAATTGCTACACACTAAACATAACATGAAAGTTTTGTTTAAAGCGGATTAAAAGCTTAATGTCTGCATATGGAAGTTATGAAACATTACATGTCTTCTGTCTTACAAATTATACCACAACAAATAAATTATCTCAATTTTATAAACAAGTACTTTCAATTTTTTTTTTTTATCACAATTATTATATCATGTTTCTTGTTCATTAGAACACTGATAATTTAAACGAAAAATAAATATAAATAATTTTATAAACGTACCTCAGTAGTGCGCTTCTTGCATTTATCGCTTGCTGCAAAAATATTCAGTTGAGTTGAACCAGGTGGTAAGGGACATTGATCGATGTCTACTCTTCGAAGATCAATATCGATTCCACTAGTTCCTCTGGAAATATAAGAGTTAAGTCGTAATTTAATACCAATAAGTGCATAAGTGAGTTGGGAAAAAAATAATTAATTAACTTGTAGATGTTTTATACAAATGTTTACTGGGTTAACCGAATATTATTTATTTTTTTATGATATAAACAAATTCCAGAGTTGATGACAAAATGGATATAATTTTACATTTCCTCTAATGGATATATAATATCCTCTCGAAAAATGAATCAGTGAATACTCACTGTTTGTAGCCACTAAACAAAGGATTTACTCATAGTGAACATGTCATGTGTATAATTAAAATGCCATGTCAAATATTAATAAATCTTAATTAAATTAATTTTTACAGTTCTGGTATTTTTGCCAACCCAAATATTGAAGGAAGATTCCTAGATTCAAGGTCTACCTACATATCTTCTCGGTCTGACACAGAAGGCCCAGGAAGTTTATGCACTACAAGATTTAATTATCAAAACTGTCAAAGTTATTTGCGAAATCTAAATAGGTTTTTGATAATTATTATATAATTGCAAAATCGTGAAAATCACTGTGAGATAATATATTTTCACTGTTTCATAATTATAGAATTCTAGATTTATTTTAAAAATAATCTCATCTTTTATTTTCTATTTATCTATAAAGTGTAAAGAAATACATGAATTCGAATGTTCGAGAGTCTATTGCAATACTCGACTGGTTTGTTGATATTGGTGATTGAGACTAGAGCTGTCCAGAATTCAAACGCTTGTATCTAAGTAGATATTTATTTTTGTATCATCTCTTTACTCGATATTCAGTTGGATGAAACAATAGTTTCGATGTCAATAAATGACGATAATAATAATAATAATTATTATTATTATTGTTAAAACTGATCAGACATCATATTGATTATCTATTGGTTGAGTAATTTTATATTTCCTTCAGCAACTTGGAATCTCAATTAGTATACAATTAATTATATCGTTATTTTTTATATTTTTAATAAGTTTAAACTTTAAAATAACTTTTGTTTTATAAATATTGACTCGCCTATTCATTATTGAATTGTTCGAACTTTTATTATCGTTTGTATATGAATAAAAGTTGTAACTCAATAATTGCAACCTCATGGCTTCATTTATAGAATTTCGTTTCGTATAGTTATTATTTTGTGCTAATTAATTAATACATAGGAAAAATATTATAATTTATTTCAAGAAGAAGTGCATTGTTGTTTTTTTTATTACCGAGTTGCAGAGGATTTTGTTGCTAAATTATTCGGTTGCACTGTTACACACTTGTTTTGAAAAAATGTTTGTTGTATTTCACTGTTTGTATTAAAAACTTTATTGACGTAACCATATTTTATTTATCCTGAACAACTATTTTTCATAATAATAATTAAAAAAGTTGTATCTCTATTTTTAAATAAATTAATGTGTAACATTATTTAAATGCCTAGTGGTTAGTTATTATAATGAATCCGATTTTGCAAATTCTCAAATTTCTTAAGGTTTCTGGAGACGAATGCTATGGTTTTTGAAGTATGTCCAGATGTATGCATGTACGTACGTATGTACTTGACTATGTATGTATGTATGTTCGTTATTAATTTTCGTCTCGTGTATCTCAAGAACAAATAACGATATTGATATGGGACTAGTTTTATTAAATGCTTCATTATGTAATTTAAACCTGCTCATGACTCAGGACCTATGAGGCCTATATAGAAAATGAGCATACCAATTAATTCGTGAGAATGAGATCTTTTTATTGCACTAGTTAGAATTATAATATTAATGATAATTTATGCTAAAATTGAAGCAAGTTCCCGTTTTACCCCATTTTAGGGGTGAAATAATTGATTTTTCATATGTTTGACCTGATTCCGTATTTCTACGCATTAAGACGAAGAGAATGAGTCCTCGATCATCAAAATCGGACAACTTTGATTTTTCGACCCCAAAAAATGGCAAGTGGTACCCCTTTCCATTTTTTTAGGGTTGAAAAATAAAAGTACTCCGATTTTCAAGTTTGACCATTCATTTTCTTCGTTTTGATGCGTAGAAATACGAAATCGGGGCCCAGCCCAAGAAAATTCACTTCAACACCCTTAAAAGCGGATAAAACTAGATACAAATTACGAATCATCATCCCCTTGACTTTAAACCCCAATAACTCATGAACGAATGGTCCAATCACTGTTTTTAGGGACGTTTAAAAAACCTAAAAATCTAAGCTAAACATACATATCCATAAAAAATGTTAGAAAAATTTCTTTCACCCTTAAAATCGCTAAAATATAAAAAAAAATCCCATTTTTCATGAAGTTTGCCAAGTATTTTAGCGATTTTAAGGGTGAAATAAATTCTTTAAACATTGAAACCGTGAACATCACATCACAATCAGTGAATAATGACTGTTTTGTAATTATAAATAGATAGCTCCTGCAAAAATTGAATTACTATAACTGCAAAATTGCTGAATATTCACTATTTCACTTTAATTTTCAATGATTTCCACTGTTTTATTTTTAGAGAGTGAGAAACGATCCAATGATAACTCTGACTCATCATCCGTTGTTGAATTCAAAACAATTTATTCGAATAATTTCTGCAATAATAAATATAGAAATAACAAGAATGTGATCAAAATTATTGTTGTTCCCATATACGAGTTTAATTCATCAATTTAAATTATATAATATTTCTGTATTTCAATTAGTTCAACTGAAAAACGGATGTATTGAATTTGATTGTTTACAACTGACAAATTCACTTTAATCATCAACAAGCTGTACTAGAAATGTTTGAAGATCAGATCTAGATCACATCAAGAGGACCCTATTTACATGTCAACGCTTTATAAGATTACGGATTCTCTTAACAGTTTTCTGCTTGAAAACTCTATGAATCTGAGTACATTGAAATGAAATACTGAAAATTGTTTAAAATACATGTATAAAAGATAGTTTTGCACAAAAAACGTCATTAATAATAAACAGTATATAAAAATGAAATATAATATATATATAAATCGAAAAATAAATATTAAATCAATAAAACAAATGCTTTATTTATCGAATTTTCATTTCTTTATTCACGTGAAATAGTTCGTTATAAATTATTTACTTTTTCAACTGAAATTAGTTAATATTTACTGATTGACAAAGTAATTGATAAAAAAAAAATTTTTAATTACTTTTGAAACAAGTTTCAGCTTTAGTTTTCATTAAATTATTTACCATTAAATAATTAGCAACGAATGAATTCATAAAATATTTTTCAAATTCATTTAACAGTTAAATACAACCATCTATTGTTGATGTAAACAATTTTTTTTCTCGGTGTCCAAATGATAGACACTCTACATACCGATTTCCAATTTAATACTAATTAACAAATCTTTTTCATATTTTACTTCAACACTCTCTTATTTTATTATATACTCTTTGGTGAAGCTTTATCATCCCATTTAGGGTCGTTAAGTAAGGGTTTATAGCAACCTTAAATTCAGTTAATATATTTGGTACTTTTTTATATCTCTACGTTTGACTACTTTTATAATAGTGTATTATATATATTGAGCTTAATGAAAGCAATAAAGTGTATTATAAAAAAGATATTTACCTGTCATATTATAATTATGAAGTACTTATATACATCTCAATTTTATTCTCAAAATTTTAGCCAAGCTTGTTACGTTAAACTTCCAACTAGTGGAGGTATAAGTAAGTTTATAGATAATTTTACAGTGTGTGTAGAACTAATTGAATGAAACTATATTAAAACATAATGCATAATATTTCCAGAGCTTTTGAAGTTTTAAGGTAAGTTTGAATGAAAAGATATTGCCTTGCTGTCATGATATGTTTGAAAATTTAATATAGATTTAGAATTCTGTCTACAGAATATCTTCAGTACACATAAGTACTTTTTATAAAAGTATCATTATCCTCTGTTTAAATTAGCTGAAGCTTTTATCATTAGATAATCTTGCATAATACTACCGTTTGCATTACCACAAAAAAAAATGTTTATATTATAAAAAAATGTAATAATCTGATTAGTGTTTTTCTTCTTTAGTAAAATATACATATTCAATCTACAGTATATTAAAATGACTTGAAATAACGAAGAAAAAGATTTTCATCATGATAAGTTGCTAAGAAAAATATCTTCAGGAAAAAATTAAAAATTTTCGATGAAATTTCCACTTAATTGGAAAAGGGAAAAGAATTAATTTCTGATATCATCTGATCTCTGACATTTCCTTGGAAAAAATTAATGAAAAAATATTACACTGATATGATTACAACATTTTTCACTTACACTTGTGTATAAATGTGATCTTGAAATATTTTTATCCAATAATCGTATTTTATAATTTATATCTTGTAATTATTTTGAGCTTTATTGGTTACTTGAAAAAAAAAAACAATCCATTTATTGAATTGGTGTACATGTGTCATGCTGAATTGATATGAATTAAAAGAAAAAAAAGGAAAGTGTTAAAAACACAATCGTTAACGACTCTTTCGACTATTTTTATCCTCTAGTACTGATTATCAGAAAAAATAGACAAGAAAATAAAAATTTCATATCGCATGATTGGCAATAATGTAGAGTAATATTTTTTCTTGGATCACAGTTATTAAAAGTGTCGTTTTTTTTTGTAATTTACTACTTGCTTTGATTTATATATCTCACAGACTGAAAAAAAACTCCTCTATACCAAGTATTTCTAAACATTTTCCCAACTGCAATGTAGTTTAGTATTATGCTTGTGGCTTAGTGGAAGTAGCTTACGATCACTGAAGCCAATTTTATTCTTCAAGTTTTTTGAAGTTAAATCATAAATTTTTTTGATCTTACAAAAATTTCATCTACTAATGAAAAAGTGACGTAATTACACTCTCCAAAGCACTCGGTAGTGTCATAGTACTCTAGAAGTTAAGAAAGAGTCTGTAAAGAAATCTCCAAAAGTACCAAAGCTCGTTAATCCGATGTTAAGTCGAGTCAATCAGAGCGTAACTTGAAAGGATGAAGAATACTTTGAAAATTTGCTTCTCCATAAAGACGCACATCAGTTTAATTCATTAATGCGATAGTACAGGTACTTGAATTCAAGGACTGAAAGAAAAGAGCTCTTATCTAAGTACATCTATCTTTGAACTTTCTTCTACAAATATGAATATAAAGTGAACTATTGAAAACGTCATATAGAAAATGACATTATCGAGAAAATCTGATGAAATTATTTACAATTAATGTCGTCGTTTATCTACAATAGTCATTTTAACCATTCAAGAATCGACATTTTCACCTTCACAATAGATATTTATTTCAAAGTGTTTGAAGTTTGTTAATACAGTAAAACTTCCCATAGTGCAACACAAGAAATTTCGAGCACTCTCGACAACGCAACGTCTCCGTTATCCTTTTTCATCTCCACTCTCGTATTAGTACATCTAATAATATTAATAATATTTAATTTTGAATATTATTTAAGCTCTTGTGTATCATAATAATCATATAATTATGTATTATAACTATTTTTAAGAGAAAAAAGTACTGTTTACTATTTTTCACTGACTTAAAAATATGGGTAGTGGGGAGAGGAGAAGTTATACTATCGGAAGTAACCCTGCAAATCCAAGTGTGTTATTTTTGTAGACACTTTTAAAACGCTAAGCCTCTTCAATGTGAAATGTCATAAACAAGCTATAGATTGTTCACAAACTACGAAATGTGTAAAAAGTGTTTACAAATCATGCATAGTTTGTTAATGGGCATTTTACATTGAACACACTTTACATGTGTTATTTTAACACATTTGTGAAATCCTGGGATTTACAGTGCATCAAGCCCCTTCAATGTTAAATGCCATAAACAAACTATAGATTTTTTACACGCTATAAAACGTGTAAATAAATAATGTATAGTTTGTTTATGGACATTGAACATTGAAGACGCTTTACGTGTGTTATTTTAACACGTTTGTAAAATATTGGAATATGCAGTGCTGTTGCAGGATGAGATGTTGCACTACGGGGAGTTCTACTGTATTACTTTGAAAACAATAACAACATTTACTATTCTAAAAATTCCAAATACTAAACAATGTTTGTTTAGTAAATGTTATTGTGTGTGAAAATTACTAATCGAAATCAAAGATTAACAATGTAATGCATAGTTTATAATTAATTTAACGCTTCTATTTAATTTACGCTATTGTTTGCCTGTCTGATATTGTACAAGCCAATTTTGAAACACTTCATGTTATCCAGACTGAAATTTTGCACACATTGTTGTTATCATTTATTGTATTCCGTTACAATGTACAATTGTAACCGGCCGTTGCCTACATGCCTTCAGCTAAAGTTTACAACGTGAAGTTTCATAAATGAAAAATATGACAAAATAGGTTGAACAGTAGAAAAACAAAAAAAAAGGTTTTTTTAATATAACTCAATCTGTCCAATCCAGATTGAACAATACTTTACTCATTTTTTTTTTTTGCATATTTATCTGTCTAGTGATGAGAAATATTTTTTAAATAAAAGCTTCATTAAATAACATACTTTGTGTATTTTAAACACTTTTTATTATATATTTGTGTATATTCTATTTAGAGCAATTTTTCTGACACAGTAATTTGTGAATTAGAATATTGACACGAAGCCAACGACATTTAGAGTGTGCAAAATGTTTACAAGGTCCGATTAAAACTTTGTACACTGAGTTTTTTACATTACTTTCGTCACTAAAAGGTATCAATAACAACTAAATAATTAATACCTTTTAATTAAGATGACTTAAAATTTCTCTGAGTGTAAAAAAAAGCCCTATTATCTTTCAATTAATAATAATCATTCTATTAATAATCACATAATTGTTTACGATGAAATTTAGAGAATAATATTTTTCATTTAAAAATAAAAATTAATTTTTCTGTAATAATAATTAAAAATAATTAATTCTGAAAATTAAAATGTTGTGAGCAGGAAGGTGTAAGGTCACATTTATCCAAAACTTGTTTCACTCTACATCATACATCTTAATAAAAACATTAATTTTCATAGAAAAAAAAATTATACAACTTTGTGAACTCTTTAAAAAAACTTTAACATTAATTAATTAATTCTAATTCTCTTATCAAATAATACAATAATTTGTTTAACACAAAATCAGACACGCCTTTATCATGTCCCCAGTCTTTTCCAATGCTACGTTAATCCAAAAGAGTTTTAGCACAATGGCACCGAGAGGTTTGAGAATTTATTAAAATATAAAAATAAAAGTAATTAATGAAATAATAAATAAACTAAATAGAAATAAATCTTGTAAACTGAGCTTCAAAATGACTCATGACTACTAGACTTGAAGGATGTGAGTAAATACTAAGAATAAGATGAAAATTAATATTTGACTAGAGTAATCCTTCTGTTAGAGTATTTCAAACCAGTAGGATGAATCTAAGGAAATGACATCAAGACAAATGTTTAAGCCGTTATGGCTTTCCTTCCTTCTACTTCAGAAAATCTGACTGACGTCACTTGAATAATATGTCAGTCGATAAAACAAAGTGAGGACACACCTCTACAAATCTACTACTCTTTACTTTACAACACTTTAACCTCTTTGTATTTCAACCGAAACTTACGAGCAATAATTTTACCTTCCCTTGTGAATTCCCGTGAAATTGTTCTCGACTTTTGGAACTTGTATTTTGTGATATTACTTCACATATACAAGATATTATTATTACACGTCATAAAATATAATGATTCATTTAGCATTTCGATATAAGGTCAAAGATAGAGGAAAAATATATGACACTATTTATAATATTGTTAATAATCTTAAAACAGAGATGAATATTTGATTCAATAGGAGTGATTCTGGATAATATAGATAAACTTTTTGCTGACTTTTCGTTCTATGAGATAACAATAATCAAATTACTGAGAGTAAGATAAGTTGACAATCAGAAAATTACCTTTACATTAAATGTTAATTTTAGCAAATAATATTTTCACAAATGAGATTCTATTAGATAAAATAATCATCTTTCATAAATAATAAATATATATAGCACTATGTTTTATTAAAAAATTTTATTCTTCTTTATTATTCTACTCTTTTCATACCACACTGCTTTTTCATTCAGCCAGTGAAATGCTCACTGTTTAGTCAGACGTCATCTGAAACTTGATTATTTTGTTCTCAGCAAACTTACGCAATGAAAAGTATTATTTCTTCCGATGTTTCATTTATTTCTACGCTTTTGAAGTTTCTTTATTGTATAAGAATCGTATACATCATAATTTCATTTTATTATTATAGTTGAGAATTAAAAATAATTAAAAAAGCTTTCATGATGATTATGGAATGTTAGTAGATATTGTAAACGTAAAAATCATCAAACTATTGTTGTAATTTTGTTAATTGGCTTTCAAAAAAGTGTTGTTTTTTTTTAATTATATAATAACACTCTTACTCAACGACTATTTTAATCGAAAAATCTACTTAGCATCAAAGTTAGTCTCTTGGTTCTCAAGCGGAAACTCTCGAGTGGATAATGCAATGAAGACATGAACTAATTCCATTTAAAATTTACTTACAAGAAAGTTTTAACATCAAAACAATATTCGTACCAAAAATATTGATAATGATATGATAACATCCTTACAGAATAGTAAACAGTTTATTTCTATCCTCGTTCGTGATCTATCTTTGTTTTGTTGATTATGTATTAATTACTTTCTATATTGATACCTAATATTGATGTTTCTACAAAAAACCCTGTGAGTTTTCATTCTATAAACTTGTAAGCCATCTTGATTTGATTTTAAATAGTTTGTTCAATCGAATTCTATTATATTGCCAACAATTAAATGAGTTTTTAAAACTACCTTTTCATTTATCACAAATATTGAATTCCTAAATTGACAATTGTGTTTTTAATATCATTTTTAAAATACTAGTTAAAATTAAAATTTAAAAACAAAAAAATACATGCCTCTTTGAAAAAAAGATTAAAACTAAATATGAAAGGGTTGCTGTCTAAAGACATGAAGTCTGTTTTATGTAATAAAATTGTGTTGGATTAAATATTTCAAGAATTTGTAAATTTGAAGATGGTTTTTCTCGAAAGATTGAACAGTAGAGTTTAATAATAGGATGTAAAGAAGAGAGGTTGTAAAACTTGAAAAGTTACTTCTAACTTAAATGATATAATACAAGAAGGGCGTACAACAATTTACAAGATCTTTTGGTAATCAAATAGTTAAAACACTATTCTTGATCAATATTTGCTTAATGAAGTTTCAGTAGACGACAATAGATTCGAAACTTTCCAATTAGTTTACTTACAGAGGGAATTTATTACAAGTTTGTTTACTTGAGCCGCAGTGATTGTAAGTTTCTGATATCATACCACATATTTAAGTTTAAAGATTACAAGTTCTTAACAATCTTTGAGGAAACTTTTCCCTTTTTAATCTTTTACAATTGTTTTTTTTTTAAATGTATATTGTTTTATTTTTAATGCAAATAAGGGTACTTACTTGAAAAAATATGTGTCGTTGGCATAACCAAAAAATGGCACTGTGTAAGTGAGCATCCAAATGTTTCCTCCACCACAATCGTAATAAGGTTTAGACCAACGACCATCTTCATATCTCACTGTTAAAATTTCATCCTCCACGCGATCCGAATGAGTGCTTTCATTTAAGGTGTAGCTATGAAAACCTGCAAAGAGAAAATTTTTTTCTTTTATTCATTGAAAAAAGAAAGCGAAAAATGCATAAAAATTAATTGCATCTAATCTAGAATGTTCCTTAACAGAAGAATTCTTTTTAAAGTAATAACGTTTACTCTTTGAATTTTTAATGAACCTCTCACATACTTCTAGAATTCATGTTCTTTAAAAACTTAATAAAAAGAAAAAAAATTATCCGAGGTTTATCTCGACTGTGGAGCAATGAAAGTTCCATACGTTGCAGCTTACATGATACTGCAGAAAATTGTGCTTGGTACGAGTAACACTTGAAAAAAAGGGTAAACAAAAAACTTGTTCTGATAATATTGCTGCAGGGAAATGAGACTTTCAATGATTGTGAGTGAGTTTCTAAGTAAATATAAACATTTATAAATATATATATATATATATATATATATATATATATATATATATTTATATTTATATTTATATTAGGAGACAGAAGTTTTTTATCGCATAATAAACATTAATATTATTTGTTAAAAGTACACAAGAAACATCTTCATTTTTTCTTCAAAAAAAAGATAAGAATAATCCTTTTCATTTTATATCAGATTTCTAGTTGACGTATAATATCTTGTAATGCTTCATTTCGTTGCAAAATTCATCAATTTACATACCAAAGGTGTTCAATTTCAAACACCGATATGTGTGTGTAAAATAGATGAGTTAATATTTACAATAGATTTATGTTTGAACACATGTAATGGTATATTTACTGAGGATTTTTTTTAAATATTGTAATTTTTGACATGTTGCTTTGAAGACTCAAGCTATGAAATTTTGTAGTTACGAAGTGTCACATGTACGATATGCGTTTAAAGTGCATATGCAAATATGAAGATTACAAAGTGTAATAAAATATCACCTTGTTCAATTTTTATAAGCAAAACATGGATTTTAATACACTTTAAAATACATGAAGAATAAATTCAAGACTGCAGATTGTGCATAACAATTGAGCATAAAACACATATAAGATTTACACGCTCGTATAAAAAATTTCGTGGTAGAGGTCCGAAAGTCGGAGTAAGGTCAAAAAATCATCTGTTCTTTGACTTTGGACCTCTACTTTTTTAATATTTCGGCGATTTTGAGGGTGAAAGAATTTTTTTAAACATTTTTTATGGATATGTATCTTTAGCTTAGATTTTTAGGTTTTTTAAACGTCCCTAAAAACAGTGATTGGACCATTCGTTCATGAATTATTGGGGTTTAAAGTCAAGGGGATGATGATTCGTAATTTGTATCTAGTTTTATCCGCTTTTAAGGGTGTTGAAGTGAATTTTCTTGGGCTGGGCCCCGATTTCGTACTTCTACGCATCAAAACGAAGAAAATGAATGGTCAAACTTGAAAATCGGAGTACTTTTATTTTTCAACCCTAAAAAAATGGAAAGGGGTACCACTTGCCATTTTTTGGGGTCGAAAAATCAAAGTTGTCCGATTTTGATGATCGAGGACTCATTCTCTTCGTCTTAATGCGTAGAAATACGGAATCAGGTCAAACATATGAAAAATCAATTATTTCACCCCTAAAATGGGGTAAAACGGGAACTTGCTTCAATTTTAGCATAAATTATGATCTAATTATGATTTTCACTATATCGACTTTTTTCCTTTCGTCTAGATCTTTTATATGAGCCTTCAATCAACCCCGTCCCATTATTAGTATAAAAGTTATGCACATTTTCATATCTTACAGTTTTTCGCCAATATATCACCCTTTCATTAATTCCATTATATACATTGTTTCTGCAAGTAGAATACATTTAAAGTACATTTAGAGTAGAGAGGAAGAATTTTCAAAAAAACTTCCCCATTGGGGAACCTTGCGGAAACGAAATGTTTTTATAGGCGAGTGTAATACATTTTATTTCTTAGATCCCATCGGACTTCCTCAGAGGTTGATTTTCAGAAAATCATCTTCTAGTACGTCTCTAAGCCCTCTGAGGAATATATTCTTCAAATACTATGTCCCTATTTTCAATAATTTTATTCGAATTCATCTACAATCATACGTTTATTCTCAATCAATCAAGAAAATATTTTTCAATCCACTTTTCAATTAGAGTCAGTGAAAATAATAAAGAAGCACTAGTTATTGACCTCAGTAAACCTATTCTTAATCTCATTGAAATATCATGTGAAATTCCTAGGAGGAAAGCACGACTGGGAATTTCTAAGCTAAAATTAGATCATGGTTGACGAAGACTAGTCCAATGTTGAGCCAAAAATGTCCAGTCGTGCTCTCTGGTACGGAATTATGAAAACTATATCATCATTCATGATAAAATTTTGTTTATATAATTCAAATTGTATTTCTTAATAATCAGCCAAATGTTTTAACTATTAAAAAAGATTATTTATATTGCAGCAAGCTATGTTTAATATCTAATACAAAATATTTTTTGACAATAAATAAATCTCCTTAGCAATGACAAATCCCTGTTGTCAGTGAATGATAAAAATTAATGCTATATTTTCTACGTGAAAAAAGCCTGGTACGATGGATAAAAATTAATAGCATATTCGTGATCAGCAATCTAAAATGATACGAGTTAATAATTTAACCTGAAAACTATAAAGCTTTCAGCAAGTTGTATAAATCAATAATAAAAAAAAAAAGAATTGATTTTTTCAATCTCCCAACAAATATTTGATCTCTAAAAATTGAACTCTTAAAGTCATAAGTCAATAATGCTGTGTAAGCACGTAACGCTATTGTTTGAACTGAATGTGTAATACCAACAACGAACTACCAGAGGTACATTTTTAATTGGATTAACAAAAGACACAACAACAATGCTGCTAAAATACCATCAATAATAAAATCTGCATCAGTAAATCAAAAACAAATAGTGGTGAGATAAAAAAAGCTAAAAATTCAAGATCTACTCAAAACATGTTTGAACTGTTGCAGGTCAAGTTAGGTTGAAATAGTCTGAATTGTGAACTGATCATTTACACAACAAGTTCTCATCCAGCTTGTTTGGAATGATGTATTCTGAAGTTACGCTTTTCATTGACTAAGAGATGTTCGAAGTCAATCCATTATCTTCGGAAAAAATAACAAAGAAATGAATGAATAACAAAAACAGCATCCTTTAATAATGTATGCAACACACATGAAAACGTATTCACGTATAGAAAAAATTTTTCGATACTATTATTTACAGAGCTGGAACAATAAATACCTATTGAACAACCTGACCTATGTGTTTCTCTACTATTCAAATTACACTCTTGTCCATTCATTTCAAAGATCACTAATGATATTTTTTACATGAATAACAGGGTGCTACTGTAACACTGACTGTAATTAAGGTTAATAAAGTGTATGGATCATATTTCATAATTGTAAATGGCTTTTAATCAATAAAATTAAAATTTAAGTGTCTTTAAATTGTAAAATAAAAATACTTTTTATTTACATCGTACATGAAAACAATCTTGATTTGGTATAAATAAATAATATTCTGTAATAGGATTGAATGCATATGTAATATTAAAAAATGTTATTGAAATACCATAAAGTATATATTATGCATAACCCTGTAAATGAAATGAAATCTCGTGTTTTATTTAATTATTTCAATTTGGCTTATTGGCGAAAAAATAACATTTAACCATCTACGTCATACTGGATATCAACAATTGTCTCGTTAAAAAATTATTAAATCGAGTTGATGATTTTTTTATTTCAATAGAAATAAAACCGGATTTAATAAAAGAAAAAATATCAAAAGCGCAGAATATCAAAAAAAAAAAAATTTCAGATAGGACAATGACTAAGTTTACTAGTAAAAAAATTGGATATGTATGAATAACGATGTAAATATCATGAAAGTTTTTTTTATAAATTATTTTGCTCATTTTTTGAATTAAAAATACATTGAAATTTTTCTATAAATTCTATAGACAATAGACAATTTTTTACCATAATAAAATGAGTATTTTTTCTTTGTCTAAAATCACATCAAACTCTAATGAATATATTTAAACAATACATCACAAAATAATGACATGAGTTAATAGTTCGGTATCAGATGTTTTGATATTAATTAACAATCAGAATGAATTTTAGTACAATTCAAGTTAATTATATAGTTTAAAGCCCCTCTCCAAAGAAGGAGGAGCACAGATGAAGATAGCAGAGAGAAGTCAGATCACTTGGTGGTTGGGAAGTTGGAGAAGTGACGTGGAAGTTCTTGATAAGATTATGAAGATTTCATTTTAAACAATATATTACCTGCTATAAAAAAATATAATGCCTTTTACATAACGAAAGATGACGGCTAGTAGTCATGCGCGCATAATTTTCATCAGCAAACAGATACATGGTATCCATTGTGGTAAAAAAACTCTTAATAAGATCACAAAATGTAGGATCCGTCTTAAATAAAAACTTTAAATCAATCAATAAACTTGATTATTGTCAAAACAGCGAAATTTTTATAATTCCAGGTAATTGTAATTATTTAGCAGCCATTTCTATATTCTATTATTATTATTTAACAACAAATTGGTAGCACAATTATTTCATAATGTCCAACTAATTTGTAAGTAGCTTCTTGAATCAGCAATTAGTCTTGACAAACCACGTACCAAGTCTCTGTATGCTGTTATTTCTCATTCCACCTCCTAACACTCATTAGTGCATGAAAGATCTACTTATGCCAAATGCTCTCCATCACTCTGCTTATCGTAATAGCCTGTTTATCCTCACTTTTAATAACCATCTCCAAGCATCCAACATTTTTTCAAAAAGTTGGAGATTTGCTCACATCACTTTGCAACTCTACTGAATTTAAATTTTTAACATTTCATATCTAACTCTCATTACCTCTTTTTACTTTTCAATACTTTTACAATCCATGAAAAGTCCACTTTCACTTTTACATTCTTCTTTAGAAAGAGAGGGAGAGAGAGAGAAAGAGCCATAAACTAGACAATTACTAAATTAAAATA